ATAACATAGTCAGTCTAGTACTAGTCAGTGTAGTAGAAGTCAGTAGTAGTAGTGGTCTGCATGCCTATGATGAATTATGCTAATAATTAGTAATAATAATAAAAATAATTTATAATTTATTTAGTTGCAAATTTTGAGTAAAATTAAAATAAACTGCATGGTTTTCGAATATAATAATTAATACTAGTGACTTACTATTAGAAATTAGAGATATCTTCAGGGTCTTCTCAGTTCTGCCTTTGATTTTGATTCTTGTCATCTTGAGACTTGATCTTCTTCTTCTTAATAAACTTAATTGTGGTCATAGAAGAGTAGTTTAAATATGTGAACATCTGAGTTTGAGATCACAACATGAACATGCAATCATAAACTAATTGACTTACAATTAAAAATAAAGTTTACATAAAATAGAATCATGTCCTATGCCTATCAGAAATGATCAAATTCAAATATTAGCCTATACAGTATACAGTGCCATTTGAATTGTAAATTTTGAAATAGCCTCAGGAGGCAGGAGGGCAGTAAAGTTTACATTAAAGGCTAAATGATGACCACTGATCTGTTATTTACATCACTTATTTATTTAAGGGAAGTAGCCTATGACACTTTAATTTAAGTAGCTTAACTTTGCCTTTGCCTTTACTTAACATTTTACGGAAAGATTATTAGGCCTAAAACAAAATTTCACAATTTCTCTCTATGCAGTCAAGACCTAGTCAATTAATAGTGGAAGAGTTTCAAATAAAATGGAGCGAAATCGCTGTACTTTACCCAAAATAAAAAAGACCAATTCAGGCACCTGCTCTGATAATCATACAAACGCTATGCACTATCAGGATCATCAAAAATTTGAAAATGATTTGGTTTCCTCACCAAGAGTCTGGGATGATCCTCAAGAAAAAATATCAAATTCAAAGCCTTCTAAAAAATGCAAGGTATCAAAAGTAAAATCCAAAAAGAGTAGGCGAGAGACTCAGTCATCAGCTTGTGAAGTTAAAGGAAAAGTATCAGCATTTAACAATTCATGGAAATGGAAATTGTTTGCAAGTCAAAATGGATTTGTAGCTGTAGATCCAGGATCAGAGGATGAGTGGAGATTTAGTTCTTTAGTGTAAGTAACATTTATTTTTACAATTAAAATGAATAATTCCAAATTTTATTTTAATGTGTTTCTTTTAAATTTCTTATTAAAAAAATTTGCTCTTATATACCGGGTAATTTTTAATATTCTTTTAATAAGGGCATAGTACACCAAGCTTTCTTCCTCTTTCCTGTTCAGTATTTAATGTAGGCCCTATTCAATGCAGTAAGTTTGAAATTGAAAACTGTACTTTTATTTTTAGGAGAGGCAAGTATTGAAAAAATTGAAGAATCTTATGCTCTCTTTGTAAACTTAATCTTGGCTAATATTTAACCAACTTTGTTTTTCAAATGCACTGATGAATTCAACACATTTTTTGTTATCTAATCAAATAATATAATACAGTTCAGGGATTCCCCTTAAACTAACTTTGACCACTTTATAGGTACAAAATATGTATTTTTAAGGTGTCAGTGGTCAACTACTGGTATGCACAACACATCACTTGAAAAATACAAATGAAAGTTCTTGATGGGCAGATCTTTTCACAGCTAGCTAGCAGCATAAACAACATGATTTTACTTGAGCAGAATTCTCACATATCTACCTTGTTCTAGCTAAAGAGTTGAAGAATTTTGCACTTGTTTTGAGTGAAACAACTTTTTCAATCCAATTTCTTTCTCAGATTTGCTTGGGGCAGGGAACGCATTTTTCATCTATTGGGGATGCTGAGTTTACTCATATGTGCCATACTTTTCATACTTCAAGCGTATATGGCCTTTAGATCATATCAAGTAAGAACATTTAAATTTAAATGAAATGTCTCTTGGTTTGTTGTCAGGACCACAGGTTTTAATTTAAAGTTGGTGAATGGTCAGACATTGGACAAACAGATTAGACATTTGACAAACAGTCAGACATTGGACAAACCGTCAGACATTGGACAACAGTATTTCAATTAATTAAGAAATGTGGACAGAGGTATTTGGTATTATCCAGTCAATATTTTATGTAGTTGAAGTAAGTTGATGACTTTACCAGATTGGAATGTTTACATTTGCCTTAGGCCCTAGCTGCTTTCATCATCTTATCAAAATGGTAACAGTATTTTATACAAATATTTTTGCCTGTCACACAGATTATGCATCAGTTGAGCTCAAAACGTCAAATGCCAGAAATGCTGTACCAGATTTACTTTGATGGTCATGATTGGGCAATGGATTTAGATAAGGTGGACCTACGGGCAAACACAACTATCTTCATCCATTGACTTAAAAAGAGATGCTAAGTTAACCGATCTATGTTGTCACCTTGAGGTGACACAGCTGTATTTATTTATACATTTGTTTAAATTAATGGATAAATTTGTTGAAGAAAATTGTGTACCATACTATATTTATTAATACATTTTTGTTAACTTGTTATTCATATTTCAAGAATTTATTTGTAAGGGCACACGAAAAGATTTATGATTGTTATAGATCATATGTTGTTTTTAATTACATATAAACAGAAAGCAACACAAAATTGGACATATAAAACTACCGTACCAGTACAGGTCTAATATAATGATTATCTGTCTGTTTTGCAGTAGAATGCCTATATAATTTTTTTTTTCTTAGATTAAAGAGTCATTTTTATTCAGTGAATATCACTCTTATTTTTCACAATCATTTTTAGCTGAAATTTCTGTTGTAAGAAATAAAATTGACCGACACTGTGAAAAACTGTAAGGCATCCTTACTGGCGGACAATGAACTTTTCATATTGTTGGTGCACTACTTTAGCTTATTTATAAATGTCGTGTTTCAGATTTATTAATGACATATTTCAGATTTATGAATGACCTAATTCAGATTTATGAAAGACGTGTTCCAGATTTATGAATGGTGTGTTTCAGATTTATGAAAGACGTGATTCAGATTTATGAATAACAAATTTCACAGTTGTTTGTGGTTTTGCGTAAATCTAAATTCAACTTTAATGTCAGTATCACTTATGTAAATGTATTACCAATGTTGCATTTTGTAACAAAATAAATGAGCAGAGTATGACAGTTTGAAGTGAATTTTTCTGTTATAATGTGCTTGTTGGGATTTTTTTTCTTCTTTTAATTTTAATGGATTTTTTTCTTTCTTTTCACTGCTATTATTTTAGACATCTGTATGGGTTTTATTCAAACGATTGGTCATTTTTAAGACACTTAATGATTCCAAAGTTTTTTCTTTTAAAAAAGATTTTTTTTTTCAAAGTCCTGTTTTACAGTTATACTATCATCGTGCTGCTGTTTTGAAGCTGGTGTTAGTGGTCTAATGGCCAGTTGCATGTCCGCTGTGGCTACATTTGATATATGAATAGGTAATGTTCACTATTTCATCCAAAGACTTGACGGCATTAAGACATGCAATGTTTTGTTTAATGTTTGTCCTCAATGACTTCCTTTTGAAAAGTTTGCTACACTTCTGTAAGTGACATCTGTATTTTAATTTGTACGAAATCTATTTTATAAATTAGAGGCATCTGTGATCATTAAGCTGAAGCTACTTGTGATGTATGTTACATTTTTTAACACTGTATTCCTCTTTCATTTGCCATGCTGAAACATTTTGTCGAGCATCATTAGGTTTGAATGGTTCCTGCCCATCTAATTTATGTTAAAAAAATCAAGCTCATTTTTCTAAAACTGTCAAACTTTTTGCAAAAAGTTTAATGTTGAAGTGAGATAAAGTTTACAATCGATAATATATCACCTCTACTAAAAATTTTAGGTGGCATTCAGTAAAACAAGCAACAAAACTTACCTTATGGCATTTTTATCATTGGTTTCTATTATTTATCTATATCAAACATTGTCATCATGAGATCTTGTCAAATGAAGTGTCATATGATACAATGGAAATTAAATTGCAAATTATGTTTCTGTTACTAAGTACACAATGTAAAAGTAACAAATTTATTAAATATATTTATTGAAATTTATATCTCTTAAGTATTTCTAGTTTGTTTAGTTTTTTTTGTTTGGAATTTTTAAAAAGTGTTAAAAAGAAAATGTCTGTGATTTGATCCAGCAACCTTCTCTTTGTATCTATAGCATTGTTTGAATCCATTTATTTTCATGATAATTTAATTAAAATGGTGAGCATTGCAACCTTACTAGAACAATAATTGTTCTTCCTTGTTGCTGAAATTTGTTAACCCAAACTGCAGGGTAAATGTTATAATTTTAAGAAAATATATATTTGGTTAATTAACATGTCAGTCAGAGTTTGATACAAAATATATTAACCAATGTTTTAGTTTTAATGTTTTAACAAAAAGTCTTCAGTTCTTGAAAGTAGTGTTGATTTTAAAAAAAAAAATATTTTAAAGCACTTTTGTATCTATAGCATAATATTTTTACATTTTTTTTTTTTAAATTTCAGTTTTTTCCTTTTTAGTTCTGTTATAAAAAGATATATTTTTTATATAAAATATAAACAAAACAAAAATGATAAAAGTAAAGTATTGAAGCTCTTACAAGTTTTGAACATTAAAAAAATGTTGTTTAAGTAGCTGTGGGATTATCATTGTTGAAAATCTGAGAATAGAGCCTGTCCATCAAGTCAGTTCTATAGGGACAGGCAAGTTTGTCTATTGGCACATGTCAGTTAGTCTATTGGGACAGGCAAGTTTGTCTCTTGACAGTGCTGTGAGGACAGGCTGTCGAGCTAGACTTACTGACCACTGTTACATTAAATGATGTTAAAACTCAGCAGAAGCCTTGTGCCTTCATCAATCAGACATAACCTTACTTTGTCCCCTGCTTGCTAGGCCCCTACGTCTTTAAGTTGTCCTAAATTGCAACTTGGTTTCTTGATACAAAATGTGCTTATGTGCTTTACTAAAATTTCATGGTATTTTTGCTCTTAAAATATTAATCTAAAAACTGTTTCATTATTCATACTTATGATTTTTTTTTACTCCTTCAAATTGAATATAAATTATTTGTCAAATATTTATTTATTTATTGATAATGTCAATGAGCGCAGGATGTCTACATTGAGTAAGTCCCACTGCCATTGATTTGAATCAAATGAATACATTTTTTAGTTGGATCAGTTGTTTATATAGTTATTTAAATATTATGTTAGTTCTGAAATATTAAAAGAAGCTTTTATTATTATTATTAAGGGGGTTTTATATAACGCAGTACCCCAGCCTTGGGCCGGGCCCACTGCGCTTCACATCAAAATTAGCAATAACAGAAAATTATACATTTAAAAACAATTTGTTAGAAGCTTGACCTCACCCGCCCAAGTACTATCTACCCCTGTCTAGCCAGCAGCATCGAGCATTGTTTATCAGTTAGAGGGGGTTGAGAATGAGTCGGTATAGTACAGTTTGAAGTTATTTAATTAGTAATATGTTATCACATAGGATGAATTTTATCTTTCACAAGGAGTAACACCCCCCTGCTCTTGTCTGTCACCCTTCTCCTACTGATAGAGTGAAGAATATGTCAATTTAAATTTAATTCAATCACCAAAATTATTCTTTTTAACATTTAAAACACATAATTCTTTTACTTACTTAAATTGACAATGTTCTCCCCCCCCCCTATGTTCAAACAAATGACTGCCTGTGTTAATCAAATACTTTTCATGTTTTTCTAAGAAGAATATGTCAATTTAAATTTAATTCAATCACCAAAATTATTCTTTTTAACATTTAAAACACATAATTCTTTTACTTACTTAAATTGACAATGTTCTCCCCCCCCCCCCTATGTGCAAACAAATGACTGCCTGTGTTAATCAAATACTTTTCATGTTTTTCTATTGCATTTAAACAATATATATATTTACATATACTGCTTCTGGGACATTTTTAAAATTGTTATTAATCTGTATTACCCTAGAAGTGTTGCTGTTCAGAGACAATATCAAGATGATTTTTTTCTTTCATTTATGAATCATTGTCTTTTTTTTTTTAAATAGAGCTGGCTTTAAAGAATGTCACTGTTCAATTTTGGAATGGGATGTTTTAACTAGAGCTGGCTTTAAAGAATGTCACTGTTCAATTTTGGAATGGGATGTTTTAATTAGAGCTGGCTTTAAAGTAAAGAATGTCACTGTTCAATTTTGGAATGGGATGTTTTAATTAGAGCTGGCTTTAAAGTAAAGAATGTCACTGTTCAATTTTGGAATGGGATGTTTTAATTAGAGCTGGATTTAAAGAATGTAACTGTTCAATTTTGGAATGGGATGTTTTAACTAGAGCTGGCTTTAAAGAATGTCACTGTTCAATTTTGGAATGGGATGTTTGTTTTTTTTAATTTTTTTTTTTAATCAAAGATTTTGTCATTATCCATAGAAAATATAAATTTGGAGTTCATATTTTAAGGGTGTTCTCTAAGTTGTATCTCATTTACTTTATTTTTAAAAAAAAATCACAAAAATCACAATCATGTTAGCAGTATTGAGTCATTTAAAAATTATATGGATCTATGTCTATTTGAAGAATAACCTAAACAAGTGTCAAAATAAAGCTCATTCTATTTTCTTACTAGAATAGTAACTTGCACTTAAAGCTGCAATTTAAATTTTGTTTTGAGAAACTAAGAGATCGGCTCAATGTGATGAAATAATTGGATGTATCAAAATAAAAAAGAAAGAAAGAAAGAGAGGAAATGGTTACCGGAAATAAAAGGGGATTACCCAGCGTACTACGGTAGTATTTCTTCAAAATCATTATTGTACAATTTTTTAAAAAAAAGGAGAATTATATCACTGTTGATGATTTACATTAGCATTTCCAACTAAATTACTAAAGATGACGAGAAGAGTGATGGACATTATTTCAGTTTAAAGGAGGAGCGGTGGTGTCCTGTAGCCTGCCTGAGCGACTGAGCAGCCCTTTCTAGGAGCACACTGCTCACCTCCATGACACAAGGGGATGGGCTGGAAGAGTTGCCCTAAAACACAGTGTGCTCCCTTTTTCCTATAGGGATTAGAGAAACATAATATCCTATGGGATTAGAGAAACAGAATATCCTATGGGATTAGAGAAACATAATATCTTATGGGATTAGAGAAACATAATATCCTATGAGATTAGAGAAACATAATATCCTATGGGATTAAAGAAACATAATATCCTATGGGATTAGAGAAACATAATATCCTATGGGATTAGAGAAACATAATATCCTATGGGATTAGAGAAACATAATATCCTATGGTATTAGAGAAACATAATATCCTATGGGATTAGAGAAACATAATATCCTATGGGATTAGAGAAACATAATATCCTATGGGATTAGAGAAACATAATATCGTATGGGATTAGAGAAACATAATATCCTATGGGATTAGAGAAACATAATATCCTGTGGGATTAGAGAAATATAATATCCTATGGGATTCCTCATCCTCATGTCCCTTAGTCGTTGGGGCGCCACAGATGACATGTGAACCATTCTCCTCCATTCCTCTCTGTCTTCAGCACTATGCACTGCATCGCCCAGTGTTAGTCGTGTCCACTCTTTGATGTTATCCTCCCACCTTTTTCTTTGTCTTCTTCTCCCTCCTCTTGGGGTGCCCTGCAATATTTCTTTGGCAAGCCCTTGTTTCCTTGTTACGTGGCCTTTCTAGGAGCACACT